TCGGGGCAGCGGAGCCGCCGCGCCGCCCTGCGCTTGTCCCGTCGTGCCCCTTCGCCTTGGGTTCGCGGGAAACTTCGCGGATAATATTTCCTAGGGGCATCTTTTGTTCTGATCCAGCTGCTCCCGTATGCTGACAGAAATGCTGCTCCGGCTTTTAGGAAACGTTGTTTCCTGTGAACTCTCGCCTTTTGCAAGGGTGTGGATATCTCGATAGGGAAAACGCTTCCATAGCTTGTTAAAGTGAGAGAGTATTATTTAGTGAATACACAGTGCCAGCAAAATAGCTGGCGTTCCAGATGTGGTAGTGTGGCGCTCATTAACGCGAGGATCAGTCTGCTTTCTGCTGCCACTTTCCTTCCTCCCCTGCTATTTGCAGGGTTTGCTTTTCGTTTAGAACTTGTACTGCATCGTATACAGTTTATTTAAGATCGTGGCTGCATATTTTAATGGAATTTTTGAAGTAAGCATACAAGCGCATGCATTCTTTACCCATATGGAAAAGCTATGCTGTGTATTTAGGTACTGATGACTCTGGAAAGTCTTTCCCTTTGCAGTGTTATTCTACACTCAGTCTTAAACAACCTCTCTTTCTTTATCTATTTTTTCCTCATTACCAGTAGCCTCCTTTGAATATATCCTGCTGAGATTCTTTTACATATAGCTTTCTAACACGCCAATGAATTGATTATTAAATTCTTCTTGCCTCTTTAAAATCCTCACGCTGCATCTCCAAAGTGCAGCTGAGGGCTGAGGTATGGAAGGAGGAGTCTTAGATGTCATCTGTGTTCAGAATTGCAAACACAGAAAGGAAGGCTGTGTTTGTCTGTGAACGATAGTGAAGTGTCCTGATTGCATAGAGGAATATAGGTAGAGGAAACAGTTGCATTATTTCATTAACTTATGTTTGAAGATGTGTTGCCGCGTAGGTTTAGGCATGCATGTGAGTCCAAGCAGTTCTGGCCCTTTTAATTTGCGTGATTGGCACTCGTGTGCTTGCAGGGATTTTGGCAGCTTTACAGGAGTCATGTTTCGTACAGATGAACTGTTTCTGAACAGTTTCTCCAGTGTGTTGGGCTCAAACTTCATGTGAGCTGGGCAGGCCTTGCTTTCCACTTGCCACTTCAGAAACTGCATTTAATTATTTCAGTTCTAATGTTTCCTCTGTAGTGTCCCACTGTTTTTACTTCCAGATAAGATCCTTTTCAGGGTGGCTGTATTTTCTTCTCCTTTATGACCTGGTTCAGTGGAATAACTACTAAGATGTAATAAAGTAAGAGTTGGTATCTCAAAATAAACCCGTGATCTGCTTTGCCTCCTCTATCGTTGCCGTTGGCTGTTTGGTGGAAAGTCTGTGTGTCCTTTGCTTAATACCTCTAACCATGCAATTAGATTAGATTTGGATTCAAGAAAAATGAGCCTAACAATTAAATCATTCTAAATGATGATGTTGAATAGCTTTTTTTTTTCTGGCCTATATTTGTACTTTAATCACAGATTGTAATTATAGTTTTCAGTAGAATAGCACCAGGGGAAATAGGAGTATAATAGTTCTGTTTGTAAAATAAAGAGAGAAATAAAGTTGAGCAAAATGTCAGCAACAGCCTGCAGAAATTTGAGGAGATCATGATGGGCAATTGTCAACTATGAACATTGCTTAGGCTGTCTTCAGTAAGGGTAGAATAAATCATAAGTGCAAAGATTAGTTTGTTATATGTATTTCAGTTAGGGGCTGTCTCTCTGTTTGACCTAGTTGTAACTGATTCATACTAAAAAAGTGACCAAATCTTTTTTTACCAGAAAGCATAGTTACTTTTGACACTGTTGTCTACTAGAAACTTTGAATGCCTATTACAGTTAATATGACTGTTGAACTTGACAGGATCCCTATAGAATAAGCTGTTTTTCTTTCTCATTGTGCACTATGACATGGGGTTGTGCAGTAGGCAATTAGAAGTCAGGGCTAATGTGAAGGATATATTACTTGTATACTTGAAACTTCTATATGGTGCGTGCCAGAAGTAGTTACCCTTTCTCTAACAGTACCCTTCCTTTAAAAAAATAAAAAATAAAAATCAGATTATAATATTGTATTAAAATTAAAAAAAATAATATTTTGGGGGTGACACTGTTACTCTAGATATGTCAAGCGCTTGATATTTTAATGACAGGTTGTCTATTTATAATTGAATTTGCCACTCAAAATCCTTCATAAAACAAACCCAAGAAACTATATAGCTTTTGGAGTGCACATGTAGATGCCTAGTTAATTAGCCATGTGTGTGGCAGGGGTAGAGATGCTCAAATTTTTAATAAAAATGTGCACTGTATGTATAAGAGAAAATATATTGATTGTTAATTACTGATCTTAACAACTCTTTTTGCTTTGAAAGGGTTATTTGTCTACTTAGCTCAGCGTGTCATAGGAATAACTGCTTGGCCAGTACAGAAAATGACTGGACATGAAATCATTTTGCGTGGGAGGATTAGAGAGTTATCCTAAGCCCTTCTCTGTAGGAGAGGTTTATTTTTCTGTTATTTCTGACATGTTTTTGTGCTTTTTAGCTGCCTCGCAGAGGGAAAAAATCTGCTCATGAATCTCTGCAGTGGTTTTTGTAACTTGGGAGGTTTTCGTCTCTACTTGAACATGATAGGTGAGCCGCTCTGTAGGTCCAAGAACTCGTATAATGGAGTGGGGGGGAGGTCTCCACTCTGAAAACCTATTTGGCAGCCCTTGTGAACCCCTTTTGAGGGAATGCTCTTCACTGAAGAGCTACATCGCCTTAGGGGGAGGATGTTTAATGCGGGATTTGACAATTCCTAGAGATCCTTGTACCTATTTTAAGTATTTTTTATTATTGCTAGAGATTGCTTAATAATGTTAGCAGAGTAATAATAGCGATTGCCTGCCTGGTATGAGAAGGAGAAGGCATGAGAAGGAGAAGAGTTTTTTAATTAAAGATCTTCCATGAGCTCCCTGTGTGACCTTGGCAGTGTCACTCAATTTACTGAATGAATCTAAACAGGGTGCGAATCTTCTCAGGCTTGGATGTTGTATGCAGTTTATAGTCCGTTAACAACGCTATGACTAGATGATAAAACAAAAATAAGTTTTGCATTTTTTGACATTATCTTCTCTGTGATCAATAAAAATGCAGAAAAAAATATATGAAATTATGCACATTCAGTTTTGTTTTCTCTTCTGAAATGTATTAAGCATGCTTGTATTTAATATTTTCCTTTTGCATTCATTTTTTCTAAGATTAATGAATATTGGTAAAATGTTAATTAATATTTTAGTAATTGTTTTTTCTTTTGTCTGCAAAGTTGGCTTGTCATCAGGCTTGTGCACGTTAAATGCATCTTTAGAATGTTGAAATGAACATGTTATCGATGGCCTGAAGCTTAATCCTTAATGTGCATTTCTTGTCTAGTAACTATGCTTGAAAATCATTTGAAAGTATTTTA